ACCCTTTCACTGGATCTCCCCCTCCTGACATTTCTCCTGAAACTGCTCTTTGATATAATCGCCCTTAACATCGGCCTTTCTTCTTTTGCTAATCCCTTACCTTGTGGACATCCTTGCAGAATCCCTCTTTTTTCTTTGACAACTTCTCCATCCTCAGATGCATATGTATCCTCCATTTGATCTATCAGCCTTTTGCTAGTCTTATTTTTAACCCATTTACTGGCCCTCTTTACCCCACCCCTTCTTTACTCTTTTAAGTACCATACTATCCTAAACTGTAGTATGACTTTTGATGTGTAGCCCATTTAATCATTAACTCAACGTCCTCTACCATTTTCATTTACTGAACCCTTCTATAAGTACAATATGACCTTTGATGTCTAGAACTTTTATTTTGCTATTTATCCATTAACCATTATCTTATGTATTAAGGTATGATACTAAAAAGGGTTTTCCCGCTTGACTCCTTACATGATACCCATATAGTTATATGAATAACCCTTTCCAGTTCACTGTATTATGTAAAAAAAGACACTTAAATAAGAAACAATGTCTACAAATAGCTATGCTTTAAATGTAAATTCATTTTCATTTTTTTAAATATATTCTGTCTATGTAGGCATGGTGTGAGTGTATATGTGAGCATGTATGAAAGAGACTGACAGACACAGAGATAGACTGCAAGTTCTACTGGCATCAAGACTTCAAAGAAATTGCTTATTTATTTATTTTTCATAAGGAATGACATTTTGAGGTCATATTTTCCTACTGACCTGTTATGCAGGTTTTTGACATATCTGGCAGATGATTTACCTACTCATTCGCACATGAATTTCCTCTTGGCACATGACTTTACACTTGGCTGTGGTGAATCAACTAGTGGATCATGATTATTTACCCCGTTCACTCGGTCTCTATATAGATATTGCTTGATAAAGGCTGGTACTGAGTGAATGTGACACAATTCATGTATATTATTAAAGATATATAAAATACACTTTGCCTTAAACTCCCCTTTATCCTTTTGCCAATCCCTACCTTATCCTACAGCATCTTCCTTTGACAACTCTCCCCTACCTTAGAGTATTTATTCACCCTCTCTACCCTCACTTTTCTTTGCCCCAGAACTGCTATATGACTTCGACATGTGGCACAAACTAACCCCTCTCTTTCCCCTTTTCACTACTACACTTTTTCATAGTTCGATGTGACTTCTGATGTCTAGCACGTTTATTTTGATTTGTAACCTCTAACCATTTAAGTTTGGACTGCTTTCAGTACATTTGAACCTGTACAGGGTGAATAATGCAGCACAAAATGTCTTTGCAAATTATCACACCCATTTATTTTTAGAAAACTTCTTACTAGCAATAATATTTTTCTATATTAATCCTGCTTCTCCATTTTTTTTTTTTTTTTTACTTTAGGCTCAGTTTATATTGCATATGAAGGTGTCACCTGTTGCAAATTATTAGTGAATTAATCATTAGTAATTTATTTACATTCTTTACACATTTGTGGAAACCAATGCCCTATATCTGCATAAAGAACCAGCATAATCTCAATTTTCCAGCAGTAAACATTTAACATATATTTCCTTCCAATCAGTCATCCAATTTAAACTTTAACCTCAATCTTAAATTCATTCCTGCACTTTCAGTCATTTTTCTCTCTTGTCTTTGCTATGAACATGATTCTTTCAATAAATAAAATTTCCCCAAATGGAATGGTTACTTCCATCTATTCATAGTGCACTGAATGTACAAGCCTAATTATATTTTTTCACAATTTCATTTCCCGATTATAGAATCAGAATCAAATGTTTAGCAAAAATTGAATTACCAAGGTCTAATTCATGTACTCCTTCACAAATATATTCTTCCATTGTACAAAATATCACAAATGTAGATTGTAACCTTTTAGTATGGGTCATTTTGCAGGTTTATGTCCCTTGTGATAAACCTAAAAACAAACGTTGGTTTGCCTAAAATTGTTAAATATCATACCACAAAATAGGAATATGAACATTATAACCAAGTTACTTTGAAAGGCTGATGTAATCAGTGACCCAAACTGTATATATTAACGCCTAATGCCCTTTTCCCACAAAATTATTCTAAAAACTATTACAATTATTCATGGGTGGGGAATAATGCTCTTTTGATGTATAGAGGCTACTGGTGCAGTTTTCTGGAAGTCAAGGTTTCCATCATAAAAAGCTTCTTAATTATATCTATACATTCTTTTATTTCAATTGGAGAAAAAATACTACAGGAACACAAAACAAAGGAGGAATCCTGCCATTCTTGACCTAGTTCTATTGCCAAGCTACGAGGCAATAAGATTACTCAAGAAAGAGGAAATGATATGACATTTGTTTAAAGGGAAAAGAGAAATTACGTAAATTAATAAAGATAAAAGAAAAAAACATATAAATGAACTGATGCTCACAAAATGTGGAAGAAATCCGTGAAAAAGTTAAGAAAGGGAGAAACAAAGACAGATAATGACGGGAAGACCAAGACAATGAACAATAAGTGCATCCAAAATAACTACTGAAATTGTTTACAACTCCATTTGTATTGAATTACTAGGTCATTCTATTAAAGGTTTTGTTTCAAAGCTGATGACCTAGGCTGTTAAGGAAAATAAAATCTGCTGCACACAAGGTTAGGATTTTAAAAGATAATTTTGTTATACAAAACTTTACAGGCTGGAGTACATGAAAATATATTTCAAACGAAGCTGAATACGGGCAATTCCAATTAAGTTTTATATATGTACTGGGCATGCAATAAATCGCAGATTATCCGGGGTAAAGAATACTATCACACAGAAATCTTAAATTTGTAGATTTTGAAGGCAGAAATCATTCTCATAATAACTGTATACTTTGTCATACCTGAAGCTTAAAATGCTGAACTTTAAGTCTATATCCACATGTGCAAAATATAAGTCTGTATGAAAAAACAACATCCATTGCTGTAGGTTTCAACATTACACAGTAAGTAGGGAATTTAAGAACTAAGTTGTATACACAATTATTAGGAGAGCTGCCTCTTATTCCTGAAAGGCACAATATAATACTTTGGAAAAAATAATTTTCTTATACAACTGCCAGAATTACTTCAGTCCTCCAGAGATGCTCACTGAAGTAGAGATTATGCTTAGTAATTTATAATTAGCACTCTGCATGGAACTGTTGAAAAAATCAACTGTGTTTGCTTTCATGAAAATATTTAGAAAATAAATCTTTATAAAAGTTTACAGTACAAAACTAAGGGGTTAATAATCTTTGGATGTAAATAGCTTCCAATAAAAACTGCATACATCAGTTGTGTAAATAATCACGAGTCCTTATACTGTTATTGGAGAGGGTGGTTATGTACACAGTATGTAATCAGTCTAAACAGCTCTAAGATTTATAAGTGCTTGGAGTGTAGCTTGACCAAAAATGTATCAATCATTTCTAAGGCCATGCTGCAAAATCAGATGGCAATAATACAGAAAATTTGAGCTGCCTCAACATTCTGACCAAAATGAGAACATCAGCTTATCCGAAACTTGTAGGACATAATTTGTTACATGTCTCTAATTTTTGCTGACAATCATGGCAAACATTTTAAATGTTGACATTTATGATGTCAAGTTAATTTCATAGGTGTGGGTACACACAAAGGAAATAATCAAACCATTTAAAACAATGTACACGATATATTTCACTTTTATCAGATTGAAACCAAACAGTAAAGCTTTCCAATATTGTATAAAGCCGCTAATATTCTGATGGATTACTAGCAAATTTAATCTTAAAATGACCCTAGAGTTGACAGGACTCAAAATGCATACATATATATCACATCTCTTTTGAGAACTTAACTAGATATTGGATTTTGCATCCCTAGGGCTATTTTCAGATGAAGTCTATATCCTTACATGGTAAAGAGTGGCATGAAAATCAGTAGAAAACAATAATGAATGATATACTGAATAGTCATTGGTAAATTGCAATATTATGAAGTGTTGCACTGTATGGCAACATTCACCACTTTCTGAAGAACAGTTTGCTGTGATGGAGGTGGTAGGTGGTGACTGGCAGTGAGAGATGGGGGTTCTGGGATGGAGGTTATAAATCATCAGTACCACTCATCCTTACAAGAGCTGCTGCTGTCTTGTAGTGGCTCTACACATCCTATGTCTCACTTTTGGGTTATGCTAGGTCTGGTTTATATAACTGTTTATAGCATGACATAATATACAGAGTAAAGTTATGTACAAGTATGCCGTTTGGTCTGGGCATAAAATATCCAAATCCCTTTTTATTTTATAAGCTATTAGTTGACAGCAGGGCAGAAATCAGGTTGACAATTAGCACACTAACACCACATCAAACTGTAGGCTTTACCAGAATTTAACATTTAAAGATTTACAGAAACTGAGAGGGAACATCTCCATAGCATATTCTTCTACATGCCTTTTTCTATTATATGACCACTAAACTGTGGTATATCATTCCACTTCAAGAAGGCTTATTACATCACAAGTGCACAAGAAGTGTGCAACCAAATGGGTTTCAAAAATTCCAAGTAATTTAAATCTTCGGCTAGTTATCATGTTGCAACCAATAGAGACAAAACTGTCCCCCTCCCTACCTGACACAAGCCTCTTGGGTCCCTTAATAAGCAACTTGTGCGTAGTAACCTGTACATGGGTTAACAAACTACAAGCTACTAAAGGTACAAAATATCCCCCATGTATTCAAGTCAAAATGATCAACTAGAATTTACTCAACATTTGGAGCCTAGTACAAACTTTAAAATGTACTCATAATGCATTATATCTTACATATGGTATGAATTGTTACAATGAGGATGGATAGTGGAATCTGTCTCTCACATACAAAGAAATTGTTCTCCCAATGTTTATATATATATATAATTATTTCCACAACTTGTGCTTAACAAAATAACACTTCGACTAGGGTAACTTTGGAAATTCACTGATAGTCAATAAATTTTAATATCAAGAGAGACAATTATATAAAAAATAATAATAATAGTGCACAGCAGTTATGCCTACATTATTCATTTGCAGATCAACAAGGTCTAAAACCAGTGTATCATATAACCATCCAAATATAGATTGATCTTGGAACTATAAAAAAATGTGCCCAAAATTAACAGATCAGTAGCTTGATGGAGCACACTTCCTATCAAGCTAAAAAAGAAGAGAAAATTGCAAATGTAAAACAATCAAAACAATGAATAATAATATGCTATATAACAAAAAAATAAACTATCTTTATATCATAAGTTAGTAATAGCCAAATGTGTAAGACTCGTAAAACAGAAAATGACAAAAGTAAAATTGGGTACTCAATAATAATCGTAACTGATAAAAATATAAAATCAACAATAATGATAATAATAATATACTCCAAAGGAAAAAAAGAAAAGTTCATTCAAAACTGTGTGAATAATAATAATGATAATAATGTGAATTGTTTACCGGAACTTCATTACACCACCTGGTCACACGTCCATTCTATGGTGTGTAACATAGTAACAAGTTTGCGTGTGGCACCAGCCTTTTTTTTTCTTTACTCTGAATTTTGTTTCTATTACCAAGACATGCAAGATTTTTGCCTTTTCACACTGATTACACTTCCAGACTTGTATTTAAAGTAGAGATAAGAAATTATGCTTTAATCATATACACGGACACACATGCACTCACGCACATTGCTTTTCACTTCCAACCACTTATACACATTAGCTCTTCAATAATATTCCTAGGAATGATTACTTTACTGCATGTCTTGGCAATAGAACACAAAATCATAAGTTACACCTGAGAGGATGAAGGCATAACATCCAGCCATTCTTTACCTAGTCTTATAGTGAGTAAATATCCAACCTTATAAAAGGCAACACTTCTTCTTATTACCACCCTTTCCATTTAACTTTCTGTCGGGGGATTTGCGGTTAATCTGCCGGACTAAGTCATAGAAGATCTCATTGACATTGATCTTAGCTTTTGCAGATGATTCTAGGAAGGCGCAAGAGAATGACTTGGCCAGGTTGAGTCCCTGGTCTTTCCCAACGACACGCTCATCCTCCAAGTCACACTTGTTACCCACTAGGATCATTGGGACGTCATCTGTGTCCTACAAGAAAAAGAAGAAAAAAATCAGTAGGGATAAACTTCATAAAACTGAAAATCTGATAGAAATATAACGAAATGAACAAGCCATCATTGTTGTGTTGTGTTCAAAGTCTCATGATTACATCTGCAACTAGTACCACATTGTCTCAGGGATAAAACCATAGTATGATCACAGATTTTGTTCATACACAAAAGCTCCCTAGCCTAATCTGTGACTCAAATTCAACAGCTTATGGACTTTGATTAAATAAACAATCACACTTTGTCTTGTTCATTCTGAAAGTCCATCACAGCTATAAGAGATCTTATAAAACAAAAGAAATTTCTTTATTATTATTTACCTTGACTCTGAGAATCTGTTCACGTAGATCTTGTAAATCATTGAACGTACTTTGTGCGGTGATACTGTACACCAAAACAAAGCCCTGTCCATTCTTCATATAGAGATCACGCATTGCTGTGAATTGTTCCTGAAATTTAAGAAATCTTGAGTACCATAATTACATTCTAAAAAAAAATTCTAAGTCTTGTATAGTAAACATTCACCTACCATCTCATCCACACACATGCACTCACTCACCACACCTACATCCACATAACTCACACCCTTGCCCCACATACACAGCCTTACACACGCTCACTCTCACCTTGACTCTTGCACCCAATCATCCACCCATTCTCACCCACCCACCCACTCTTGCACCCACCCACTCACCCACTCTCTCATCCACCCACACCCACTCGCTCACTCAAAACTCACTCACTCGCTCATCCACCCACCCACTCACTCGCTCATCCACCCACCCACTCACTCGTCATCCACCCACCCACCACTCGCTCATCCACCCACCACCCACTCGTCACCACCCACCACCCCACTCGCTCATCCACCCACTCACTCACCGCTCATCCACCCACCCACCACTCGCTCATCACCCACCCACCCACTCGCTCACTCAAAAACTCACTCACTCGCTCACTCAAAAACTCACTCACTCGCTCACTCAAAAACTCACTCACTCGCTCACTCAAAAACTCACTCACTCGCTCACTCAAACTCACTCACTCGCTCACTCAAAAACTCACTCACTCAAAAACTCACTCACTCGCTCACTCAAAACTCACTCACTCGCTCACTCAAAAACTCACTCACTCGCTCACTCAAAAACTCACTCACTCGCTCACTCAAAAACTCACTCACTCGCTCACTCAAAAACTCACTCACTCGCTCACTCAAAAAACTCACTCACTCGCTCACTCAAAAACTCACTCACTCCTCACTCAAAAACTCACTCACTCGCTCACTCAAAAACTCACTTACTCACCCACCAACCCAACTCACTCACTCACCCACCAACCCAACTCACTCACTCACCCACAACCCAACTCACTCACTCACCCACCAACCCAACTCACTCACTCACCCACCAACCCAACTCACTTACTCACCCACCAACCCAACTCACTTACTCACCCACCAACCCAACTCACTCACTCACCCACCAACCCAACTCACTCACTCACCCACCAACCCAACTCACTCACTCACCCACCAACCCAACTCACTCACTCACCCACCAACCTCACTTACTCACCACCCAACACCACTCACTACTCACCCACCACCCAACTCACTTACTCACCCACCAACCCAACTCACTCACTCACCCACCAACAACTCACTTACTCACCCACCAACCCAACTCACTTACTCACCACCAACCCAACTCACTTACTCACTCACTAACTCAACCACTCAATGTAAAACAATAGCTACAAGTTCTTAAGAGCTGATACATCAAACCAATAGCTTGGTGAAAGGTAACATCAAAATACTTTATTCAGATACACAAAAAAATATGAAGCAACCAGAATCTATGTTTATCAGAGAATCAAAAAAGTTACTTGTATATACCAATTATAGTTACAAAAATAAAGAAAATATCAATTCATATTTATTCACTTCTTATAGCTATTTCTTAATAGAAGAAAACTACCTGAGTGTTTGTACTTACAGTTCCAGCAGTATCAAGGATTTCAAGCATACACTGCTGCCCATCCACTTCCACTTGCTTACGATAAGAATCTTCTATCGTGGGATCATATTTCTCGACAAAGATGCCCTGCACAAACTGAACTGTAAGTGCAGATTTTCCAACACCTCCTGACCCCAACACCACAATCTTGTATTCACGCATCCTCGACACTAAAATAAAATAAAGTATTTTAGTACGTGAAAGTGTAAAGGACATTCTAATAATCTTTATATGAGATACTTCTGTGCTTCAGACTTGCACATGATTTGAGAAAAGTTATACTGCTCCATTTGTATGAGAGCTGAACTTTGTTTACTATTGAAAATCAAATATCCACTATGTATGAAAGATAAAGTCATCAGAAGTGATATTACTGTATTTTTTGAGAAAAGGAAAAAAAGGAACATATTACTCCAAGGTGTCGACATGACTAACACCATTCAAAAAGGATATTATTCTAATTTAACTACTAGTATATCTTTAATGAAACCATCTTAGATCTCTGGAACAAAAAAAGTTCAATAAAAATGTGTCAACTTTCATTTGATAGGATCTGTTCATAGGTTCTCACACTTCAGGTTGGTTGTGCTTATACCCAGGCACTCAAGCGCAGTATCATATATTAACACTAACAACACTCTATATAACCCTACTAGTATTTCTCTAAATACAAATAATACAGGCACATACTGGTATATCCTTGCATGCTGTTGGAGCACTGTCAACACTGAATCACTCTTAGGCACACTTGTCACCAAAGCCAACCTCTTACTGAACAGCAGCAGCAGCAACAGGGATCCCCCTTGTCCTTGCCCCTCATGACACAAATATTCCCCCCACTCTGCCCCACCCTTCTCACCAGGCCTGGGCACTGCTCATTAATCCCCTCAACCTGAGTGCTGTCAGGTTCATCACACACCATCTCTTTTACAAACTTTCCCCTCCCTTCTCCCTCCTTCTGTTTAACTTCACTCATCTCAAATCACTAATGCACACAGCCTGTCTGTCTATCGGTCTGTTTCTGCCATCTGCCTGCCAAAATGTGACTTTTTCTCCCCATAGAATGTCTATATGAACTTTCCTTGTAATATAATCTAGCAAAGAATTACATATAAGTTAAAATAAAGTAGCAAAAAAATCATAAGTCCCTACTGAATAAGAAAGTGAAAAAAACAACTATACTGGCATCTTCAATTAGTCCAAGCCTACGTGTCATAATCATGGAACTACCACCCAGTATAGTCTGGCACCCACTTGCACAACCTGCAGTGTCACCAGCACCAGCACACATCCAGCACCACAGCTGCCCCCTGGTATACTATTACATACTGCACCAACTACAGAGCCCATCTAAGTACATCATAAAGGGATTGGTTGTGTTACTAGTCTGATATGATAGGACTAAGATTGACATGATATCACCTCTGCTCTACAGTCTACAGTAAACATAGTTAGCTGTCATACCTTTATTTCTTTATAAACAAGTAAATTTCATTCTTGTAATTCAAATCAAAAGTTCACACTGGAGAGGTTAAGTTTTCACGCCACTTGAGGCCAGAATTATAATCAACAACAAATGCACTATATGGTTGTAAATAGCCAAAGAGAGATAAAAGTTCTTTTGAATGCTTTGATATTTCATGTACACAATTTGAATTAAACATTTTCATATCAATGTATAGTGGCTATATTTATGGAGACAGTAATTCAGAGACTGTTGCAAGCAAGCTCAAATACCCACTATTCTTCTAATTACTAGTATTTCTATCAAAATATTTCACTTCTACTACTCCAGAATAAACAGGATATACAATTTACTTTATCTAAATACACAGGTGCATAACAAGAAATTATTGCCATCTACATGTTAGCTATATCTAAAACACACTTCTTTCTGTTATTGTATCATGAAAAATGGTAACTATTGAAAAACATATTGGGTACACTAAAAAGTAAGATAATATTCTCTCTCCCTCTTGATCACGCACACACAAACACAAACGAAATGTTGGTTCTGAACAGCAGTCTGCAGAAACCAAATCAATAAACCTGCACTCATGACTTGTGGACTCTCCTATTTGTAGCTGTTTGTCTTGTGTGATCTTTCATTTTTAATAATAATATATAAATATAAATGTTTTTCTAATCAAAATAATTCATAAATCTAAATCTGAATGTGTGAATTTAAAACAGGTACTGTAAAATATGTATAATAAAATAAAAATGTATATGACCTGAAATATAAATATTTCAGTTAACATTATATGTGTATGCTGTCTGCCTGTCTGTATATACATATGTATAAACCTCATGCGCACACACATTCATTTGTGGTGTACTATGCTTGGTATATACATACACATATACACTTTGAGACAGGACATGTGTAAACTTGTGCACAAACACACACACACACATATAAAGTGCAATAGCTCACACACATTCATATATGGTGCATATCATGAAGCATTTAATTATGGCCTATGCCATCACACAGTCCTATGTACCTGGACCATTAGTTAGGTTGGTTATCAGGGAAGGTGGTGGGAAGGTGAAATCAAAGAGTGGAAGCACATTGCAGTATATTGTATACCAAGTTGGTATGAACACATGCATATGTAAACACATTTTACTGCATTTTTTGTGAATCTTGTTCTATAGAAACAAAGTCCACCAGGCCTTACCCCTCAGAAATAAAACACCATGCATAAATACACACACACACAAACAAAATATTATGGGATGTAAAGAACACTGTGTAAGATACCTTCTTGTGTTGTAGATTCTTTATTCTGAATTCCTGGGAAACAAATATAAATACCAATGAATATATGTAGAAATACAGAGACATGCATACAGTAAACAACAAATACAGAAATACACTTAGTTTTAGAATTACACCAACACATTCCTGCTTCCTTGACAATTTAGGGCAGTTTTCATGCTACTATTTTCCCAGTATGATTTGTCACTTCAGGTTGAGCCACAACTATTGCAAATAATGAAATCAATACATTTTTGCAACACTAAATATTTAGTTTCCAGGTCAAATCAAGCTCTTTCTTAAATCTTTTTTTTTTCCAATAGAAATAAAAAATTACTAGATGAACCATAATATATAAGACAAGTAATAATTCATAATCTGGATTTTTCACATCTGGTCTCTATAAAGTTTATCTATGTCTAAAGTCTTATGAGTTGTCTGCAATATTCCAACCACCAAACAGATGGGTTCACCACCTAGTAGTACTTCTTTACGGGACCGTCCTAGCGGTGGGGGTGGGGGGAAGTTTGGGATTTTGGACCAGAGAAGTCGAAAATGAGTTATGGTTAGTTTCATATTCATATATGAGTGTAGAATTACCCATGTGAATATGAACTCCTGCATCAAGAAATTTGGGCAGCATGAGTCTCATTCCCGCTGTGTCAGCGATTTTCACCTTTCCACACACTCGCTTTACAGGAGCAAAAAATGATGCATTGTATAATGACATTACCTACTGAAATGGATCACAGAAGAAGTGTCATTATAACAGTTTTATCCCAAAGTGAAAGATTATATGAAAACGGAGAAAAAAAAAAAAAAAAAAAACTTACATGACTTTGACATATTCATCATACAAGTATGTTTAGGGGTCATCAAAGATAATACATGAGCAATTATAAGCCTGTATCTCTAAAAATAAACTCACAACGAATAGATATTTACACAGGTTGGGCGCTCGCCCACATCAATGGGCATCTGGGAGGGCCCAAGCAATAAAGCTCCAAGCGTTGCCACCGCTTTAGACTTTTTTAATTGCAATGATTTTACGTATGCGCTATCATTTGAAACTAATCAATGAATTAAACATCATTATATCATTATAAATCCATTTTATGAAAAAAATATTGTAAAGAAAGAGTATATAATTTATTCATGTAGACTCCTAAAATTGGCCTACAAATATCTGATACTTATTGCTACATCCCAAGATGAAGTGTTCACGATAACCAAATATAAGCAATTTGTATTTCATCTTTTATCTATCGTTTTCTGAACTGTTATTTCTAACAAACAAGAAATGCACTGTCCTTCCACACAAGTACTCCGCTCGTGACTGAACTTTCATCATTTGTTTTGAGGCACAATCATGTGTTATATGATACAGAAGAAGAGTATACTGGAATAAAAATAAAATAAATAAATGAAATAAATAATAATGGATCTAATGGGTATATGCGCATATACGCACATATACATGCAAGAACATGTACCTTTACAAAATTTACATGTGTATACATATGTAAACGAATGTATACACAAGAAAACATTAATAAAAGAGGTATAAACATAAAACAATCAATTTTTATATAACAGTCATGTTGTCTTGAGTCTGGATTTGCCCCTTTCCCAAAAGTAATCTGTTTGTTTCTATAAGTTGGAGACTAATGATCATATCTTTACCTAACAAAGTGTGTCTGAAAGAGAAATAGTAATAGTATCTGAAGCGGTCCCTTTAAGCAAAACATTCTCATCATTAAAAGATTATAATGCTTGGAGTTGAGAAAATTAAAGATGTACAAAACAAGCTGCTCATTAATTATTGACCTGCAGTAGTATTCCTGGTCATCTTAAAAATCCATAACACTTTCTTATCTTAACCCCTCATATGAAATGATAAGGGAGATTTACTTTGTAATATAATTAGTTTTGAGTGTGTGTTTAAAAACAGTGAATAAAAGAAAGCAAACAAGAGTACAAACTTGAAACTGCCAAGTGCACATGTGTGAGAGCGAATTGATCGCAATTTCACAGTATCACAGAACACTGCTCACTGCAATTTGCAGAAAATAAAGGAATACCACAATACGCCCTCAAAATTTGTTCATGACAAGGCTAATCTCTTGGGTATGACATCATCTGAACACCTTATAATCCTGAGAATGATAAAATAACTTTCCATATATATCACCCAATCCAAGAAAGCTTGCAATTATCAACCAACATTTATTGGCAAATATCAAAATAAAAAATATAACCCATCTTCAATAATCATAAACCAGACAAACATAAAATTTCAAGAATATCTAGCAAAAAATGTCAGATTAACTCAATATTTGCTAATATTATGAATGATATTACTGAGACAAGCTTTATGCGATAAAGCTATTTTGGATTTTGGTACCT